GGTGTCAAATGGGACATTTTGATTTCCAACTGCTTTATATCAATATCCTCTCCCGACAGACATTAAGATACAAAGCAAACAGAGTCTTATTGCCCAGCCCAGAGTATTGCTCTAGGGTTACACTCGATGGGCATAAAAGTGATTTTATTGCAAAAAGCAGAAATACACACAAAGGTTCAAAGATTTTTTTAAAGAAAATAATGCTTTTATAAAGCCAGGACAAAAGTGACCATATTAAGACTTTATAATGTTACAAAAAATTTCTGTTTCAAATAAATGCGATTCTTTTGAACTTTCTATTCATCAAAGAATCCTGAAACTTTATTATAAATCACAAAGTATCATTAGACTGTGCTACTGACTTGGCTTTTATGGGTGATTATGGTGATTTAGATGCGCTGTCTGGAACCAATAAAGCATGTTTTGTGCTACGCAGGTGTCAAATGGGACATTTTGATTTCCAACTGCTTTATATCAATATCCTCTCCCGACAGACATTAAGATACAAAGCAAACAGAGTCTTATTGCCCAGCCCAGAGTATTGCTCTAGGGTTACACTCGATGGGCATAAAAGTGATTTTATTGCAAAAAGCAGAAATACACACAAATGTTCAAAGATTTTTTTAAAGAAAATAATGCTTTTATAAAGCCAGGACAAAAGTGACCGTATTAAGACTTTATAATGTTACAAAAAATTTCTGTTTCAAATAAATGCGATTCTTTTGAACTTTCTATTCATCAAAGAATCCTGAAAAAAACCACACACAAAATTATTAAGCAGCACAGCTGTTTTCAACATTGATAATAATAAGAAATGTTTTTGAGCACCAAACCAGCATATTAGAATGATTTCTGAAGGATCATGTGACACTGAAGACTGGAGTAATGATGCTCAAAATTCAGCTTTGCATCACAGGAATAAATTACATTTGAAAATATATTACCACAGAAACTGTTAGTTTAATTTGTAATAATTAAATCAAATAAATGCAGCCTTAGAGACTTCATTAGAAACTTATTTCAAAAGCATTAAAAAAAATACTTTGACTAGTAGTGTACATGGCAAAGCTAATAAACATAAAGTAAAATCAACAAAATGTCATTTTAATGTCAAAAGTTGTTTTGAGATATACGGCTAAGTTGTTAAAAGAATTCTCCACACACTACATGCAGCAGTTTGTTTGTTGTTTAGAAGTTGTTTAGAACAAAGATTATCCTCTTGAGTTTAGATGAGCAAAGCATATAGTATTAGGCACTTAAACACCCTCATCACCTCTTTTTAAACCCTAAGAGCTTATAAATCTTCTTTAACCAGGTCTTGAAACAAACTAGTCTTCTAAAGCAGTCAGCTAGTGTCTTATTCTTACTATGGAGGGCTGCAATAAACATTTAAAACTTGTTTCTGTGTTCCTGTTTGCCGTGCCTGTGATGTACTGCACTGCGGGCATTGAGCCGGTCCAAGCCCACCATTACCAATCAATGGCTGACTGTTGACCTCTGACCTGTGTCGTAACTGGAGCTCGTAACTCTGTGATAAAGCCAGTCAGAGCTCCGCTTGCATGGCAGAGACCCCTGGAGACTGATACTGCTGAAAACTGATAGGCTTTGCGAGCCTTTGTGCTATTGGTCAGGCTATCTCATGCTCATTCGTTGTCCGTTGGATTGTCTGTTTTCTATATTTAGCATGCCAGCCTCCACACATCCATCCCACTAATTGCCATCGTGTAGATATCAGATCCAAAACAAGAGTCAACCGGACCGTCCGCCATTCTGTGGATCCCGTCACTCACATCATTATTCGCACGTGGTCGTGGCTCATTATAACAGGATATTATTAGTCACATTGTGGAGCTGGGTTATACATGGTTTGCACTCTGTGTCATTTCCATACTCTCCATTCCTCTTATTTTTATGAACATTTTGGGTTTTACTCACACCTCTCTGAACTCGCACGGCAAACAATAACCTCACACACATGATCCTCACTTTCCTGCCTATACCCACTAACACATCTCGTCTGATTTAGGGTGTAGTGTGTATAAAAGCTGTATTGAATTACATCTCGGCTTTAATTGGACTAGTGGTACAGCTTGCCGCTGTCACAATGAAAAATCGGCCTTTCAGGGCCCGTGGAATGTCTAACCGCTGGCTTGTCAGTGGACGGAGGGAAAGAAGAAGTTAATCGTTCTCTGGCGCGCGTTCAAGCTCTGTCGTAATTGCACAGAAATCTCGAGAAGGTTTCAGCACCGAGGCTTTATTTATTTGCCTCCTTCCTCTGTTTTAAAGTCGACTGTGCTGAAATGGGCCCCAGGGCATCCAGGGGACCCCCTGAGAGAAGGCCTCCATCTCTTTTCCTGCTCTCGGCCTGGTTCTCACTGGCTGGCATGCTGAGTTCAGGGCCTAGAATTAATTAAGTCGCATGCCTTCCTGTTGATCCTACCACTACACAGCCGCTGATCCAAATGGTGGACTTCCTCCCTGTTGGGTTAAAATTCCCCTCAAACGAAGGAGGCAATGTGAAGTCGCTGGTGTGGAAGGTATTAAATATGGCATTTGATCTTAGTAGATTAAATACATCTTTCCTGTCAATTTAATTCAAGATGGAGAGAATAGTAAGCTAACATATGGACATAACAGAAGTGTCTATAATTAAAAATCTCTCACTATGTTGAGTAAACTGATTTCTGCAGACCCTTCAAATGCTCACAGCCTTCCACCACTGTTGAGGTAATCACTACATGATAAACACAGATTGCATTTGTTATGTTCGGTTATTGTGTGTACATCTGTATGCATATATAGTGGGGTGAAAATGCTTGTCTCATCCTGGAGTTTGGATAATTAAATGAGCTCAAAAGAATTCAGATAATTGGCAAATAAGATTCTATTACAGAAACAAATTATTAAAAATAGATATATGAAAAAATACAACATTTAAAAAATATGTTTCATGCATTTAATTTTCTTATTTTTGTAGTTCTGTTTTAGGTATGATATTTGTTTTTTGTAAATCACTTTTTAAAAGGTGATATATATTAAAAAAAATCAATTTGTCTAATTTAATACTTTTTAAGCTTGATTTGGGTGAAAGGCTGAACTGTGAAAAAACAAATGCGAGTTTGAAAAGTCTCTATTTGGTTTGATCCCCAGCAGCGTTCAAGTTGACATGCACTCCATGAGTTTGTGTACAATCTGATAATCATGTTCTCCAGCATGATTTGAAAATTAACCAAAGAGCTTGCACACATTTGTACATTTCAGTGACCTTGAAGTCTTTTCTCATTCTTTTTATGTCTTTTTTACATTTAAAGGTTTTCTCAATTTGAAGATTTTTTTATTTCCATTTTTAAATCCCAGGTTTTTGTGTGTTTCATGTTTTCTCTGTATATTGCCTGTATGGTTGAGTTATGTCAGACTGAGAACAGGAATTTAAGGTATGTGCTACATAAGGCAGAGGAGCATGTGCGTATATATACATGCAATAACTCATCTGTGTGTTGAACGAATACGATTCTCCTCAGTTTAGATGGACTTCACAGGGGACACATAGCTGGCGTGCCTCTCCATACTTGACTTTATTACTGATATCCGCTTTCCTTTTTCATAATTTTCACCTCATAGTTATGTCTCCCTCATGGCTGACATTGGCCAGACAGTACACCTCATCTGTAGATGCTGAGATAAATGAAAATATGTTTTAGTTTTAGTAAAGAAAAAAGATTGTTAAATGGTATTAAGGTGGAATGCTGCCATATTCCTCACTCACTCCAGTAAGACAACAACATAACACAACTAATGACTGGTTATTAGACAATGAAATTAGTTATTTTTCCAGACTGAATAAGCACACATACGTCGCCGAGATGACTGGAAATGTTCATGTTCATGTTATAATCATGAGTTAGAAACATCTTAAAAAGAGCATATTCACATACATTCTATAATAAATGTCACAAAAAATATCTACTGAACATTTTAATGACATATTGCAGTTGAGTAAACTGTAAAAAAAATTATTTATTTGTTTGTTTCAGAAAACAAACATTAAATAGTAGATAAGTGAATTGTAACTAATTTAATTTTGCAGTAGTTTTAATCTAAATATGTTTGATTAAAAAAGAACGACTCATTAAAATCATTCATTCTGGATTCAGGCTATACACTGGTTGTGCTGCATGTGTTTGATTCACTCAAAAGAACCGACTCATTAAAGTAATTTGTTTGGAAATCAGACTACACTAGTTGCACTGTATGTGTTTGCTTTACTAGAAAGAACAGACTCTGTAGAATCATTCATTCAGGAACTGGACTACACTGATTGTTCAGAATTTCTTTGATTCACTAAAAAGAACCCAGTTATTAAGAGTCATTAATTCAGGATTTGGACTACACTGATTGTTTGAAATGTGTTTGATTCACTAAAAACAACAGACGCAGAGTCATTTGTTTGGAAATTGTGCTACGCTTGGTTAAATAGCATGTGTTTGCTTCTCTAAAAAAAAAAAAAACGACTCATGAGAGTCATTCATTCTGGATTCAGGCTTCACTGATTGTGCTGCATGTGTTCGATTCACTAAAAAGAACCAAGTCATTAAGACTCACTAATGCAAGAAGTGGACTACACTGATTGTTCAGAATGTGTTTGATTCACTAAAAACAATAGATTCAGAGTCATTTGTTCGGGATTTACTCAAAAGAACCGACTCATTAAAGTCAGACTACAGTAGTTGCAGTGTATATGTTTGCTTAAAGAATCATTAGACTCATTAAAATAATTCATTCAGGAATTGGACTTCACAGATTGTTTGGAATGTGTTTGATTCACTAAAAAGAACAGACTCAGAGCCATTCGCTCAATATGAGACTTCTCGTCTGAAGCCATATAATAGCTTTATTTAACCAACATTAGTATTACAGAACTCAGTCAGACTTTGATACAGTTGTATGTTCTGCATGTCCGTCCACATAATTTTTTTTTCTCCCTCTCTTTTTCTTTTAAGACTTGGCAGATAACTTGGCAATTGACGACTTAACGCTTCACGAGTTGCTCCTGACTCCCAGACTGGCCACAGACCCCCACAGCGGCACATCCGTACCTGGATCGGCACGGGCAGCACATTGTCCTAGTGCAACCTTCATCTTTGCCATCGTCATCTTCATAACATTGGGCCTTCAGTGATCGCTCCTGTTTGAAGAGAAACGCTAATGATGCCCATGTGTACATACAGCTCCATAATTTTGGCCAAGGACAAGAACCTTTCCTCTTCTCAGCCACATTAGTATTACAGAACTCAGTCAGACTTTGATACAGTTGTATGTTCTGCATGTCCGTCCACATAATTTTTTTTTCTCCCTCTCTTTTTCTTTTAAGACTTGGCAGATAACTTGGCAATTGACGACTTAACACTTCACGAGTTGCTCCTGACTCCCAGACTGGCCACAGACCCCCACAGCGGCACATCCGTACCTGGATCGGCACGGGCAGCACATTGTCCTAGTGCAACCTTCATCTTTGCCATCATCATCTTCATAACGTTGGGCCTTCAGTGATCGCTCCTGTTTGAAGAGAAACGCTAATGATGCCCATGTGTACATACAGCTCCATAATTTTGGCCAAGGACAAGAACCTTTCCTCTTCTCAGCTTCAAGTCTTACTATATGAACCTCTTTTTTTCTACATTTTGTGTGGACCTGAGGCTCAATATCGACTATGAACTCATTCTTCTAAAGCATGAAGAGCATTACTTATACATACAAGAATCAAGTTCTTTCCCTCCGAACTCGTATGCCACACAACAGCCATGTGTTTTACATTGAGCATCGCCTCCCCTCTGCTATACACATGCAGTTTTTCACAAAAGCCAAAGCCTTCTGGAGGAAAAGGAGCTAAATCGCTTTTGAAAAGACAAAGAGGCTCAGCTTTTGTGAGTGAATGGGCACACTTAAGGAGAAGGAAGCGTGACTGACAGAGTCTGAGAACACGTACGATCGCTCTAGTGCTGTCTCTCATACATACACTGCAGTGAGCTTCTCCTCTGCCACTCATTTCCTGTGCAGTAAATGACCCTTGGAGTGGAGGACATCAAGGCATTGGCATGTCGTTGTGAAACCCTCTCCTTACAGGGCGACACAGCTGTACTTCATTTACAAAAAAATGCTTTTAAACTGTTTTATTAGAATGCTGACTTTCCCTTTTCAGAAATTGTGGTATTTTATAATCTCTCTTTGATTTCGTCGCTCATTATCTCTCTTCCTTTTTCTTTCATTTCCTCTATTCTTGTATTATAAGCGTGTGATTTAAAGCGTTCTCTTAAATGGACACCCACCTCCCTCCTTTCGCAGGTCACTGTAGCATTTGCATTCAGTGAAAGATGGCTTGGATTTGTGCATCTGTAAAGTTTTCTTGTTTCTGGACATCTTGATACACAAAGGGCTAAAGCTGTCATTTCAGATCAGAATTGGAAAACTAGTGTTTACAAATGGACACAGTTTTCGTTTCATAGCCTGTGACGTAATTCACTACTGATCTCTGTACAGTCCTCAAAGGCATGTCATCATCTGTTACGTGTGTTTTAAACAAACTGAAAGAATCAGCTTCATTGTGCTAGACGTCCCCCAACTGGAATGATACACAGTGTCCTGCAAGTTTTCAGATGATTACCCATTTCAAATCATAATTTTTTTTCTGTTGTTGTATTATTTCAAAGCACTTAAACTCAAAGTCATTTTGAAGATGAAGAGTGTAATGTATTTATTTATTTATTGCGTGTTTGTGCCTCCTTTCCCAGCTTCCCAGAAAACCATCCAAATCCATTTGTAGATTGACTTCCTCAAAGATTGTAAACACTGGGCTTTTTCAAAACACTGTTTGTTTGAGTGGTCATGTCAACCTTTGATTCAACCAGAGACTCGAGTTTGGATCAAAACTGTCTGTTTGTTCAAAGTGTTTTGGGAACCTGTTTGGGTTTTTTTGGCAATTCCATTTTGTACCACTAGTGGCAAAAAATATAAATTTCAGCTAGACAGTTTAAAAATTGACTCTCAGGCCATCCAAGATGTAAAATTGTTTTTTCTTCATTAGAACAGATTGTAGCATTACATCACTTGCTCTCCATGGATCCTCTGCAGTGAATGGGTGCCATCAGAATGAGAGTCCAAACAGCTGTTAAAAACATCACAATAATCCACATGACTTCAGTCCATCAGTTAACATCTTGTGAAGTGAAAAGCTGTGTGTTTGTAAGAAACATATCCATCAAGGCGTTCCATTCTGGTTGAAATACAAGTACATACTCAATAGTAATGTTTACTCCAATGATAAAGTCCATCCCCTGTTGTTGTCTAACATCAAAATCCACCAACATATTTATTTAGAACTGTTTTGGACTGTTTTTGCTTATAAACGGTGTTTGATTTGTGCATATTTTTCTCCTGATTCAGACAGAGTGACTTTTTCACTGGAAAGAGCAATATTAAACGTCTTGATGGATTTGTTTCTTGCAAACATGCAGCTTTTAATTTTACAAGATGTTAATTGATGGACTGGAGTGGTGTGGATTACTTGTGGATTATTGAGATGTTTTTATCAGCTGTTGGTCTCTCATTCTGACGGCACCCATTCACTGCAGAGGATCCATTGGTGAGCAAGTGATGTAATGCTAAATTTCAACAAAACTGTTCCCATGAAGAAACAAACTCGTCTACATCTTGGATGCCCTGAGGATGAGTCAATTCTCAGCACACATTTTAATTTTGGGGGTGAATTATTACGTCAATGCATTACATTTCCATAATATTTTGTATAAAAAAATAAGGACACTTGGATCAACTGAGGGGCGGTACCAAAATCAAAAATTAATTGAGTGAAATGAAGTTTTTGCCAAAAAGGAAATTCACAGCTATTTTTCTCTAGTCATGTATCACAGATTTCTGAAAATGTTTCGCTTTCTATAGACAGCCAAGTTTTATTAAAATCCCATCTTGCCAGCTGTAAATTACCCCTTTAAATATTAAATATTGTCTGATACTAATACATTTAAAAAATCTAATGGCTGAAATTCAAAGTTTTCTGCAGAGTTGAGTAAGCATCACCATGATACATCATTCAACCATGTGTTCCTGTTCTGCTAAAAAAATGAATTTTCTTTTAGTTTAGTTTTGTAGCAGACTAAATAATGTTTTCTTGCTTTACTTCTCTGTATTCTCCAACATCAATTCTTTTAGTTTAACAAGATGCCCCAGACTTTACAGCATTATAGTCTTTATATTGAGAATGGTATTTTCTTAGTGATTTACACCACACATATCATGCCACATATGTTAGTCCCATTTGACTAAGAAATCTTTTCACACATTGCAGCTCAGTCAATATTATGCTTTTTGCCAGGCTGCAGCTATGCTTTTATGTGATTCTTTAGGAGTAATGGGAGCTTTTGTGCCCCTCTCCCCAACAGGCCAGTGATACGCAGAGCTCTAGATATGGTTGACTGGTGCACCTTCACTGATCACTGGCCTCTCTGTAGCTCACCTCACAGCTCTCTTGTTCATGCACAGAGCCTTGAGGGACAATCATTTTGGGGCAATGTCTGGAGGGTTGGATTTAGTGCCCGCTGGGACATCCAGGCACTTGGTTAATGTTTTGTGGCGAATTCCTAATTCAAACATTTGTTTTAGTCCAGCTCAAATTTCTCCGTAATGCTCTTTTGTCTTCATTTTCACAGCTGTCCTTCACATTAACAGCCTAGATAATGATCACTTAACTGTGGGGTTTTATCCAGAAAATGTGGTGGTTATTTTAATGAGTCACAGGTAGAGGCCAATTGTGAGGCAATGGTTGCAGCAATTGTTTTGCATCTGTGTAAATGCAGAGCTTCTGTTTATTTGAGCTTTTACTTTTATTTCACAGTGTATAAAACAAGTACATTTGAGTTTAAGTGCTTACAAATAAAAATACCACAATTTATTCGAAAATAGATTTGGTTAAGTCACTGGATATTTACAGTAATATGCTTTATGTAAAATTGTAAGTAATATAAACCCTAGGCTGCAAGGAGGCATAATACATTCATTTTGAAAGAAAAAAAGCATACCAACATTTAAAAACAAACTATGGCTAAATGATTGATATGCAAAAATCTCAGTTTAATTGAAACAAATAGCTTATTGTCATACAGTATGTATTGAATGAAGGATGTGCTTCTGCCAGTAATGGAATGTGTTGAGTGCCGTAATTAAACTCTGAATTCTGCAATACTGTTTATACTGGTACTGATTGCACAGTGGGGGTGCATTCAGGGGCCATTTGGCACATTTGAGTACTTGAGCTTGGCTTGAGCCGTTCAATAACCAGAGCGACGGGGGAGGGGGATAAAACGGAGCCCTTCATTCACACCAGGGTACAGTTACTCAGACCTTAAATTAATGGAGAAACTGTCCTGTCTGTACCTGCTCTTCTGGCTAACCCAGTCTACAGAATGTTTGGTGGTCAATACTGCTCAAAACTGAACGTTCAGAGTGCAAATGCTGTTTATTTGTGACAATAAAGTACACGTTATAATTTAATAAAAGTTTCCATGTACAGTAAATGGTAATTAAATAAAATGTCAAAGTTGCAGTTGTGATGTTGTTCTAACAGTTTGTTGGTGAAATACTGGAGTCTTAATGGAACAAAAAAAATGTGGTTTTGATGTTACGTACCAGTGTGTGAGGTCTATATGTTTTCGTGTCTGTATGCAATTCTCATTCCAACCAGTCGAGGGGTGTCTTTTCGAAATCCAGTGTCTCAGTAGTATCAAAAAATGCATGTTGACCTAATTACAGAAAGTGAAGGCAAATGAATAGCATATAATCAACTCCACTCATCTCCATTTAGTCTTGATGAGCTCCTCTCAGCTGACTAAAGCTGTCAGACACACCTGTGGTGCCTCACACCTACAGTTGCAAATTAAACCTTATTTAGTCTGTGTTTATATTCTGTCACCCCTCCCCACCTACCCGAAAAAACACTCACACAACAATCCCCCTGGTGTGTTTAACAGACTTTATCTTGTTATCTGACTTCAAGGCTGCTATGCTCTTATTTTCACACTCATGTTTTTCACAGATCCAGATCCTGTTGCGTCCCTCTGGTCTTTTCTCTCCTAAAGTGGTGAAGGGAGGCTGGTTATCAGGCGAGAGAGCAGCAGAGGGACTGAGCAGGGCTGTTGGTTACACTTTGAATGTTAATGGACGAGTAAGAATGGGCAAAC